ATCAGTAGAATATGATAAGTGGCAAGTCTGGCAGGACAAGGTTCCAGCTTTTTATGATTTTGACCAAATGTGATTTGGACTCATTTGTAGGACCACACAAACTAGTGTATATATGGCTCTATACTGTATATTGTCATTATGTGTTCAAAATTACTAATTATTATTCTTGCTTCCATGTTGTTTTCAGGGCTGCATGGTCTCTTGGTGGTAAGCATCGTTGTCTCACAGCAAGAAGATCCCGTGTTCGTGTCCTGCTTAGGACGCCTGGGATCTTTCTGTGTGGAGTTTGCATGTTCTCCCTGTGCAGGGTGGGTTCTCTCCAGGTTCTCTGGCTTCCTCCCACAGTCCAAAAACATGCTGAGGTTAATTGGTGATTCTTAATTGCCCGTAGGTGTGAATGTGAGTGTGCTTGGTTGTTTGTCTCTCTGTGTAGCCCTGTGATAGACTGGCGACCTGTCCAGGGTGTCCCCTGCCTGCGCCCTGAGTCAGCTGGGATAGACTCCAGCCCTCTGTGACCCTAGCGAGGATTAAGCGGTGTATAGATGATGGATGGATGGAAGTTCAAATTCAAATGTAGACGAGGGCTGTACAATTTGAAGGCCTTACTAACTTGCTCAGAGTGGGCTTAATAGTGGCAGCTTGGCAGTGTTTGGCTGGAATGCCTTCCCTATTATTATTATGCATCTGGAAGATAGATGGATTGATATATATATCATCATATATAATTTCAATATATAAATGCATTGTCAGGAGCAATATTACTGTACTACTTCATGATTGTCAGTAATACTTTTTTTATTCAAGGTTTTTTTTTTGGCTTACTTATTTTTATGTTTAGTAATGTATCATACTATTCTATTAGGTACTGCACATTTTTTCCTTTTCTATATTTTTTAAATTGTATAATGAAAAGAAATTCAACTATTTTTTTTATGATTAATGGCACTGTAATTACGTCGTATGGCACAAAAGACATTTCTAAGTTCTCTCTCCTTCTAGCCATGGTTGTTTTCCACTGAGGTGCCAGACTTTATATTGTAGTGAAAATGAGGCCACAGTGAGGAAAAATGTAACAGGACCAAAAAATGCCTGGAGAGCAGAGAGTCAAATGTAAAATTTCTTTATATGGAGCCAATGCTGCAGCTGAAAACTCTTTGTGTTGTTCAGTTGCTGGTTTTTTCCCTCTCTAAAACTCTGAACAGAAGGACCTGAAGCAAACCGAGTTGATTATTCTTACTGAAGTCAGTCAGCTATAACGGATTTTACAAATCAGCACTTTAGGTCACTGTTTTAGTTTCTAATGTATTAAATGCTCACTTAAGAAATCAAGCAGCCATAGGTGTATGTTAATTGGATAATCTTAATAATGAACAGCTTTGTAAGCTGTGTGTACTGATATTCTTTGCCTTTTTATGTTGACTATGTTGTTTTTATTTGCTTGTTTTAATGCCTGTTTATTGTGCCCTCATCTCTCTCTGCAAGGATATTTAAATCTCAATCAGCACTATTCTCCTGCCTGGCGGTGATATAAAAGGATTAGATGGCTGTGATTAACGGCACAGGTGGATCGTAACACTCGGATGCTTCCTCCTCTGCAGTCCTTATGGGCTAGAAACATACACAGCACACGCTCTCTCCATTCAGAACCCCCATATTCTCAGCCTCCTAATGAGATGACAGCCGATTAATCAGGGCTCTAATCAGCTAATTCATGCGACAGATTCAATCACCGTACAAAGTGATTAGATGAGAAGATTTTTGATTATGCAATTAGCATGTATACAGCGTGCAAACAGCCCCTTAGGTCCTAATGAGAGGACTCAGTTATTAAACTTCTATAGCCTGTTTATGTATATGCATATTCTTATTTTAGTCATGGCACGAATTGAGTTTGTGTACACTCATGTGTGTGGTGGGCAGACTCACTCTGGTAGTGCAGTTGGAAGATACCCATGCTTCCCTCCGGTGCAGAGCGGTAGTAGACCGACAGACTGTTGGTGGGACTGCGGATCACCTGACCTTCAACCAGCAGTGTGTGATTGGCCAGGACCATCAGGGCTCCTCGTTCATCGATGCCCCGGATAGACAGCTGCTCACCTTCAGACAGGTTCACGCTCTTTACCTGAACACACAGAGTACCCTGGTTAACCCTCTGAACCCCCAAAACTCGCTGCCTGGGTTGGAAGGCTTGTTTACTTCTAAAAAAAAGTCTGCAATATGACACCATTTATCAGCCAGAAACTGTAAAAACAGAAAAAGGTGAACTGATGTGAAACTTTCAGATGATCCTATAATCTGTGGCATATGGCTCAATCACAAAATTTAACCAAAGGGAGAGTAAAATAAAATAAAATATACTGGATATATAAGATAAATGCAGCATTGCTTAAAAACAGTGAACAGAGGAGCAAGTTGTGGGAAGATACATTCACGGTGAAACATCTTTCTACATTTAATAAGCAGAGTCGTGTAAAAACGTTTGTGGAGGTTGTAAAAATGTAAATAATTAAATATCCGTAGCATGTCCATCCATTTTCTATACACCGCTTAATCCTCATTAGGGTCGCGGGGGGGCTGGAGTCTATCCCAGCCGACTTAGGGCGAAGGCAGGGGACACTCTGGACAGGTCGCCGGTCTATCACAGGGCCACACTTAGACAGACAACCAAGCACACTCACATTCACACCTACGGACAATTTAGAATCACCAATTAACCTCAACATGTTTTTGGACTGTGTGGGAGGAAGCCGGAGAACCCGGAGAGAACCCACGCTGCACGGGGAGAACATGCATACTCCACACAGAAAGATTCCGGTGCCCCCACCGGGACGCGAACCGGCAACCTTCTTGCTGCGAGGCAACAGTGCTACCAACTGCGCCACCTTGCAGCCCTCCGTAGCATGTGAAGCCACAATTTTTTTTTCAGTAATGGCAACACCCATAGACACTTGTAAATTGTGGTACATGTTGATTCTTGTTTTGTTTTTTTTCTTTTCTTTTTTTTCTTTTTGTTAAAAATAAATAAATAAAAGTCCCCAAAAATTCAACTTAAAATTTTTTTTTCTTCTTCTATTTCCTTATGACAAATGGTATTATGTAAGTCTTAGACTGCACAAAAGAGTTGAGTTCTCTGTAACGTTTTTTTTTACTGAGGAAATTTTTCAAGACTGTTTAATTTTTTTCTAAAGTTTTATGCACTTTAGATGTTAAAATGTTTCTTATCAATCAGGGAGGCGTCTGATTGTCTTAAATTAATTCTACAGCAGGTCACACAAACAGAGTCATAAAGAGCCATCTTGAGTCATAAATAGAAGAAGGAATCAAGCGACAGATGGAATTTATGGTTGGTTAATAGATCATTTAATCTTTGAGGCTGCTCCATCCTGGTTATTGTTGACCACCTACTGAAAGCAGTTGTTCTACTTTGGGTTTTTAAAAATGCAGAGTGTGTAGCAACACTGAAAAAAAGTGTTTGCACACTTAACATTGGAATGACATTCAATGCTGAATGCCCCAACCTAAATGTTCCTAAAGGTTCCGAAAGCACAGCCTCCTGTGTCATGTCTGTCAAGTTTCTGTTTTGTGTGCACGGTTTATGGCTTGTCTTTCCTGTTTTATTTTGAAGTCACTTCACCAGTTGTTTCTGTCTCAGCTTTACTTCCTGCATCTGTCTTGTCTCACCTGTTCCATGATTACCTACCCGCACCTGTTTTCCATCTCCCCTCATTACCTCGTGTATATTACCCTGTGTGTCTCACTGTCTCGTTGCCAGTTCGTTGCATTTTCACAGTCTTCGTACCAGCGTTTTCCAAGTCATAGTCACAGTTGGTTTGTTACGACCTTGCTTCTGTTTTTGGACCTTGCCTTTTGCCTTTTGATTTTTGGATACCTCTGCCTGAATTGACCGACCTTCTGTGTACCGAACCCTGAACGGTAATAAACCTGCCTTTTTGCCTGAACCTCTTCTGTGTCGAGCATTTGTGTCCACCTGCCTGTCATCAGTGAGTTCTTGACATCCTGAGCATTGACTTTTAAAATTTCATCTAAACCCTGATTCCTCTGGTGGATGTGGAGGCAGTTGAAAGTTTCTCCAAAGGTTTGGTGATTGTTCTTAAGGTGAAACAACAACTTTTGTGACCTTCAAATCTCCACATTGCACTTTTGTAAGTTGCACACTAGACCACAACTGGCTAACAGTGACACAAATCAGTCTTGTTTGTTCCGTGTCAAACTGCACATACATTACTGCACAGTGATACACAGTGAAGTGAGAGACATATTTGGGACAATTTCAAAATAGAATTAACGTTTTTCTACATGCATTGCAATGGTGCACAGGCTGTACTTAAAGAGAGACTATAAAGAGATGTTTGTTACTACCTCCCATTATTCTACCAAAGTCTCCCTTCCTGTGACAATATGAAAACAGTAGGACTGCAGCTACAACAGTTATCGTCGTAATCCATTCATCCCATAATAATTACCTTGATAAACTGAATCAGTTTGTCCGTAAAGTTTCAGAAAATACAGAAAAATACCTGTTTACTTTTTAAAACAGCAAAATGTTATGGGTATTGAGCTTGCTTAAGCCAATTTTTTGCAGCCCCCAAAAATGGTGCATCAAAATGATTGTAAATATTGAAGTGGTTTACAAACACAAACATGTCTCAAGGTCCACTGATTGTACTTTTTAAAGTAAAAATAGACAAAAGTAGGGAGACTTTAAGTAATAAAGTTACTGTTAAAAGATCTTGAATGAGCCTACACAAGCAAACTGAGATGAGTAAACAGCTCAGCCAATCAGAAGCGTGGTTGCTGCACTGCTCCTTGTTTGTACCACAGGACAACCGCAGTCTTTGTGGCTGTTGGTTTGAATTTGCATCATGATGTCACAAATCCCTGGATGGCCAAAAAAAATAAGGGCGCAACAGTTGTTCCAAAATGTGTTGATTGTTGTTGCACAGAAACAAAAGAAATTCATTCTGACAATGACTTTGATCATTAATGGAATCTGTGTCATGCAACAGTAAAACTCAGACAGCTGCAGTGAAGTGAAACTTGAATTTCTGTATGTGTGGGCTGTATGAGAGCTAATTTCCCCTTAAGCCATTACAGTGAGGATATTTCTACATTTTGGACAGTCTTTCCTGATTCAAAGTCGGTACTTTAATTTCAAAGGTCCAATTACCTTGATATTTTTTTTTTTGTGTGGATGTTATGAATTTGGACATTTAAAATAAAAGCTGGTGGGATATGACACATCATTCCCACCATAGCCTGATTACCTCCTAGCTTCACAAGTGCTACAAACCACCATAAACCAGCTCAAACATTGTATAATTCTATATATCCTTAAAACAGCTGCCTCAGTCCGCCATGTTTATTTACTTTCTAGAGCTTTGCTAACTCTGAAATGTAAAGCAAACCTCATTAAATGTTCTGTTGTTGGCTGCATTAGTGATCACAGGAGTTTTCATGCACTCCACCCAATAGATTACTTGTATTATTGATCACAATGTCACCATAACAGTTATAAAATTTTAGTGTTAGTGCATTGTGCAGATAATGTGGCTAACATTAGCTTTGACAATTTGCTCACAGGTCAGAGCTCTGTGGAAACTGTAACACTGAGGGACAGAGAGATGGTGAAAGTTTTAACTGGAAACTAACGAACAAGAACTGGCTGAGTTACTGTATTTCCATGTCGCCTGTTGTGCTTCAATTCAACCTGAACTCAGACAGTGTTTACCTCTATCTGTTTCTCTCCTGCTCTCTCTGCTCACATGTAGTGTATCTTAATAGAGCCACACTCCCAATCAAGTTGTTCTCACATATTTATCAGTTTCTGTTTTTAGAAAATAGAACAAGTGTCAAATAGTGAGTGAAACATAGCCCATTAAGACCACATGTTAATCAGCAGTCATTTAGGAGTAATTTCCTGTTGCGCTACAGCCCTAAAATGCTAATGTTATAACCACAACATTGTCTGTGTCTGATAAACTCACCAAACACATGAGTTAAAAACAATGGTTGTGCTGTGAAACTGGTGCTATTTCCATGTAAAATCAGAGAGAATGTTATGTGAGGTCCTGGTTAATGATTATGCTCTGAGCTGTCTATTCCAGACAAAGAGAGAGTCTTCTTCCTGTGAGCAGCAGCAGCTCAGCAGCATTTAAATCTACAGACACTGAAACAGCCCATTTAGAACAGAACTAAAAACAGGAGTTATACACTATTGATGAAACAGACCATATTCAACACACTCTTGAGACATGGAGGTTTTCATTAGTTTGCTGGAAAGGGGCACATTATGGGACATTTAGGGTTAGAATTAGAGAAATGCATTATATTAATGAGGTTTCTTTAAAATTATAGAAGAACAGAGTGTTAATGTTTCCAATACAGATATTAGATTTGCTGATGACTAGCATTTTAAAGTGCTTTAGTTGTCTGTACAACATGCAGGAATTGATCTGTATATTGTCATATATTGACAACCTTCATAAATGGCTTTTATTTCCATCAGCTAAATGCTGACAGGCTGACTGAAAATCACTGGGCTGGTATTGAACAATTTGAGTCAGTTACGTAGCATCCAAACCCTGCTGCAAGCAGTTTAGGTGGTGCACAGCTACATGATCACATCCTCCAGCCCTGCATTGACTGTCTGTTGCTTTATGAACTGATTACAAAATGCTGAGGCTTTTCTGAAAACCCACAGAGGATTTACTGTAGGTTATCTTTCTGGCTCTTGTTTTGCATTGAGTTTGCATGTTCTCCCTGTGCAGCGTAGGTTCTCTCCAGGTTCACCGGCTTCCTCCCACAAGTCCAAAAACATGTTGAGGTTAATTGGTAATTCTAAATTGTCCGTAGGTGTGAATGTGCATGTGCTTGGTTGTCTGTCTCTAAGTGTGGCCCTGTGATAGACTGGTGACCTGTCCAGGGTGTCCCCTGCCTTCGCCCCAAGTCGGCTGGCATAGGCCCCAGCCCTCCCGCGACCCTAATGAGGATTTTATTGGTATTTTATTCAGTTTGATAGTGTTCTAGTTGTAAGGTTTTCTACAGCATTTGCCAATATTGTTATAAGCTTTGTAACTCCACATATGATGAAATTGAATGGCTATTTCACAATCTAATTAACTCTAATTGTTTAGATAGCTTTAGATATTGTAGATAGGAACAAAAGTGGACAGGTTGGTGTATGTAAGTGCAACTGAACTGGAGATCTGTCACACAGACTAGGAGAAACCTAAGACAATAGTCTTTTGAAGACATGCATTGCAAAATATTAACATTTCTGAAATGTTGGATTTAAACATGCATGTATTAGGTACTATTTTTAATATGGTTAATACTGTGAATATAGTGCATATATCTTTTATCTCATTTCATCTCTTAAATTTATCTATCTATGTGTTATGTACAGATTGTTCTGTTTATGTACTTAGTATGTTCATAATACACTGTTAATATCGTGTCATAAGATTTACACCCATGCTGCACATAATGCATTTGACTGCTTCTTTTGCATTTCTGTTTGATGCTAAGCTGCATTTTGTTGTCTCAGTACTCGTACTCTGTGCAAAGACAGTAACCCTGCATCTAATACAATGACGTATGTGCTAGTTTGCCTAAATGTAGTGAGTAAAGTGTAGTAAATAAATACCTAAATGTGTATTTTGGATGTCATGGAAGAAAGATGTCCCCAAATCTCTAAAGTGACAATATCTTACCTTAGGCTGTTGCCAATAAAGCAGTTTGAATTTGAATTTGAATTTAAATTTGAGAGAGAGAAGTAGTAGTGCCAGTATCTTCCACTAGGAGGCAGAGTTCAACTTGGGTTCACACCAGACGCCTCCTCACAGTCACAACAAACACAAACCCATCAACACAGAGATGTCCTGCACAGTGACCGGTGACTCTGCACACAGCGAACATGTGATAGTTGCACCGCAGCCTGGTTGTGTGTGATTTATTGGCCATGTGTACCTGCAGTTCCACTCCGTATCCAGTGTACACGGTCACAGTGTAGGTGCAGTGCATGAGGGCTCCGTCAGGCAGAGGGGGGTCATCAGAGGAGTCTATGTATCCCTCTGGGTCGGAGAAATTCACCATGCAGCTGGACGCAGCTGAGGAGAGAGCAGAGGGGTTTATTTTGCATTGGCCTTGTTTTGTCTTTTGTAATCCCTTTAATGTGAGGCTGACTGGAAGCTCATTGGAAATCCCTGCTGCGTATAATTAATGATGGAAATTACAGGGATCTAAACTGCTACACAGCAGACACAAGGTGCAGCAAAGACTCATGGCTGGTAACGCTGACATAGAATAAATAACTACATTCTTTGGTCCTCTAAAGATTTTTCTAAGTGGATCAAGTAGTCAGATCCTTTACTTAAGTACTTCTTCAGGCTACTTCATACTTGTACTCTTGCACTTGTACTTTTTAAACTTTTACTCTTATTTTACTGATTAAATTCATTTCTGGTCCCTTTGTTGAACAAATTTTCATGAAAAAAAAAAAACATATGAACAGCTTATAATGTACAGTAGACAACAGAAGTAAGCCCAATGTCACTTAATTGTCAAATAATTCAAAACTGTGTCACCTTACAGTAATTAGATTACTTTTGTTTAACTGTAGGTATGTGCTCTGAGGTCAAATTTAAAGCTAACAGTTTAGGTTTACTATATGGAAAATAAAGGCCTCACATTAGGTACAAAAGTCACACATTTCTGAAATCCAAGTCTGTTTTAATTTAATGCTTCGTATGTCCACCTTTACGTTCGATGACAGACTCAGTCCTGCTCACCATGGAGGATACTGCATATCTGCAGAGATGTTTTATAATTTTTCAGAGACTTTTTTTCAGTTGCTCTTTGCTGTAGGGGTTGTGTTGCTCTACTTACCTCTTAAAAATACCCAAAAGCGGCTCAATTAGATTGTAGTCAGGCAACACACTTGTCCAGGTCATATTTGTCACTTTTTCCATCTTTAGAAAGTCTCATGTGACTGTGTGCTTTGAATCATTATTATGTTCAAATATTCCTCTTCTGCCAAATTCCTGCAGGCTGGGAGTCAGGGGTCAGCCAGTATTTTGGTTCATTCACAGACATTCATGGTGCAGATATAAATGTTATCTCCTGAATAACATTTGCACTCATACAGCCCTAGATCATTACACTCACATTTCCGTGCTTCAATGTCAGGACTATGCATTCACTGTGGTAGTCCTGGTCAGGTTCACACCAAACACGCTGGGCTCCATCTGAGCTACATAAAATAATTTAAATTAATTAATATATTAATTATTTTCATCTAATCTAACCAAAGAATGTGTACCCAATATTCATCAAGTGTTTTTTTTGTGTTATTTGTGTTATCTTCCAGTGGAATGTTTTTTTCTTGGCATCCGTCCATCGAGTTTGATGTTATAAAATGTCCTTCACACTGAGCTGTCACAGATACTCTGATTCCCATCTATAACTCCTGTGCCAAGTCCGAAGCCGCTGCCCATCTGTTTTTCACAAGTAGACTGTAAAAATGGTGCACTGTCAGTAGCATCATTTTCAGAGGACGACCATTGCATTTCTGATTAGTGGAACTATGGCTCCTTCTATACCTCCTGATTATTGCTGTAACTGTGTTTCAGCTGATTTTTAGTTGGTCACTGATCTTCCCTTATCCTTGTTAATCTTTTTTTAGTCTCACAACCGTATATTTTTTTGTTGTTTTCCACTTGGAGCCATGATGCAGATAGACGCAGTCCACAGGTTCAAAACTGAGAAAGTTCTGTTGTTCACGGCTCATTTAATAACCATGTTAATGCAGTTTGGCTGATTGGAAATCAGAGATGTGTTCAGTTTTGTTTCAGTGATCACAAGTTGTTGTTTTTTTTTTTACCTTGTGTGGAGATGGATTCACTTTTTTTGCATTGAGTTTCTAATTTGTAGCCTGTATTTATAATATAGTCTTTCTAGGGTTTTAGTTTTCTATTTTTAATCAGGAAATAATGCCATTAGTGAGAGGTGATAGGTGATACCATTTTGAAACATTTGACTGATATTGCATAGGGTTGTAGTTACTTGTGTTGTGTTCTGTATACTGACCAACAGTTTCGGAAAGTGTAAACATAAGGCTTCAGGAGTTTGAGTTTGACCAACTGGCTCTCTTCCCAAGTAAGTATTGGTATGACTACACACAGAAAAACTGAGGGAACAGAAAAGGGGTATTTCTGTGCTGGAGCTCTTGAAGATAGTCACTTGATTTATTTATGTCAGACAGCTGAAGCCTAATAATAACTCCAGATGAAGCTAGTTTTCCTTCATCACTTTCTGTTGCATTAGAAGCATCTTAGGAGAGTAGTTTCAATGCACATTATAATTACAGCAAGTAAAACCTGCTGTCTTGATGGATATGCTCATGTGAATACTGTTTTAAGATGCATTTGGAGACATGTGAGTCTGTCCTTTGAGCACACTGCTTGAGTTAATGTGTTTAGTGACATTCCACCACCATGAAACGCTGATTGAACGAACCTGATGAAGGGGCTTCTGTTTCCGTGTCCACGTCCAGCATCGAGCCCACAGTGGTGACCTCAGCCTCCTGCTCAGGGGTGTGTGTCTGTGTGTGAGGCAGTTCAGAGTGTGTGTCTGTGGGAGGAGGTTGAGTTGGACGGCTGCCTTGGCCTGATGCTGCAGCTGATGGTGGGGGTTTTACCCTCCTCAGTAATCCCCCGCTTTCATGCTCCAGGGATTGACTTCCAGGGAGGGAGCTGACGCTGAGTCCTCTGCCCAGAAGAGGGAGCAGGTTCTGGGGCAGAGCAGAGGGGATGATATCCCCTTTCTGGGAGACCAGTCGTCCTTTTTGGGCCAGCACTGACTGTAGTAAACCCCCAGTTGAGGTGGTGCTGGAGCTTCTGCCTTTGGGGCTGCCTTCCTTTATGCTCCCCAGCGGCACCACCGGAGGTTGGGTGGAGGGGAAGGATGTGGGGACTTCTTTATCTGAAAAGAGTCAAAAACAAGGAATGAATCATTTCAACTGGCAAGACAGGCAAGAAAAAAAACATCTTTGAAAATGCCGTGGGAGTATGGCTCTGGGTGGCTCTGTCACTGTCCTGCTGGTCTTATCAGGAGTGGGGTTATCTAGCTGGCACAGCCAAGGCACACTTACCTCCACTGTCCACACACACAACACACACTGCACAAACACACACAGTGTAGTGGAGAGACAGGGCAGTTAGGCATGACAGGAGCTGAGCAAAAAGGAGGGGGGAAGAAGCTAGAAAAAAAAGGAGAAATGCATAGACAGGCAAACCGCTCTGCCGTGCATGCTAAAATGCCATCTCCAGCAGCTTAGTTCAAAAACAGCACACAGCAGCATTTACACACACAAACCCAGGCTGCACATCCACACACACCCCCTGTCCTCCTGCAGTCCACCCTCAAACAACATACACTCCAGCCGGAACAGGGCTCGAGGTGCAGCTAAACATTAATCTGCATTTCAATGTCATTTTCACTCCTTGAGCAAAAAACTAAAGGACCGCTGCTGCTGTCATTTTTATCAAGAAGGAGATAAGTCAGGGGAAAATATCCTCTCCGTTTGTTGTCAACAATACAAGCGCTTTCTTCTTGTTTTGCTGTTTTTCATTTCAAGACAGAAAAAAAAAGCCTTTTTTAAAAATTTCCTGATATACCGGCACAACGCTCAATGTGTCACAGCACCATCATCAAGAAACTAATTTCAGCTTTCACAGCTTGCAATTATTTAGGCAGCTACACAGCAGCAGCTGTCCACACACACGCACACACACACACACACACACACACACACACTTCTAAAGACGCTGGAAAACTTTTGCTCTTGATGTGGCTCTGCTCTATAACTGTGCCTTTGATATTCTGAGCTCTTTAAATGTATTTTTGGAGAAAATCACACTAATTACGTTGACACCAAACATATACAACCTTCTATGAAGAAAGTTCCTCAAATTTGATTTTTTAAACAACTGAATGATGCAGCTTTCAGACAGCAGGTTGAACCCAGTCCTATCAGACTGCTGGACAGGGGTCTAATCCACATGGTCATTGCCCACAATGTAACAAGAATGAATGCTTTTAACTGTAATTTTTTTGATCAATTTGTTATTATTTTACAGATCTTCCTTGTTTTGTTAAATCATAAATAATATCTATCAAAATTACAAAAAGTATTCATTTACATCTTGACTGTAAATAAAAACAGAACCTAAAAACAGTAAATAATGTCCACATCAAAATCTGTATTTTTATAAATGTTAATTCATTTGTTTATAACATTTGACTGAAAAGCCACAGAAAAATATTATCTACATTTTCTAACTGTATGTGACTTCTACAAATCTGTATTTTCACAAATAGTCATTTCCTTGTTCACAATGTGTCAATGTGTAACTGTAAAACAACATTGTTTTGCTAAATTTAAATCCACTAAAATCATCAATACTTTACACATATTTGTTTTTTGTTTTAAAAGTTTGTGAAGGTATTAAAGTATTTTACGTATTTATTTATTTTTTACCTTTTCACTTTTCTTGCTGCCAGATTTTTATGTGTAGGTGTGCATAAACTCATTAAAGTCTGAATTTGACTTTTTGAGCCTGTTATCAGTGCACTGCAGTTTTACTGTGAAAATTTCCAGTGTTGACTGTTTGTTTTACTCATGATGTGTCTTCTAGCATTTAAAGACCACCACATGGACATGTTGACAAGATAAAAACTGCATTTTAACCAGACGAGGTCTTTAATAATGGTCTAAGGTGCATACAGATATTATATTTTAGATGTCATTGTTCTGCACAGGTCCAGTTTTGCAAACCTGCCTCAATTCATTTGTGTAAAACCAGTGACTCAGCCCGTAATCAAACGGGCTCAGAGGTAGCTGCTGGCAAATGAGGGTTGCAGGCTAAAGCTCACGAGGTTGAGAAGCACTCAGCAGCCTGTTAAATAATCCTAATAATAATTTTAAAAAACAGTTATTTGTGCTGATCAGAGAAAAAGAAACTCAATCCATGCTTTCAGTGTATTATGTTTACTTGTGTTTCACCGGGACAACTCGTTGGCAGAGCAAACCTCTCCACAAACCTGCAGCCTTCATTGATTATTTAGCTCACCCTCTGTACTTTGCTGCACACTGGTGAGCTGGTAAAAAAAAAACAAACTCTGAGATCATTCTGGGCAGCCAATTTGTAGAGGATTTCTAAGTGCCCAGAGCAAGCTTTCTGCACTATCTGTAGGAATGTCAAAATCTGATAAATTGTTAATATAGAAATATTTATTAGCAAGTGCAGCATTAAACAAGACCAAGACTTCGGCCTCCTGCAACTCGTGAATGTGTTTGCTGTCAGAATCTGTAATTTTGACAAAAATTTTGTACAAAGATGTTTAGAATATCCAGCTTCAGCCAGTAATGTTCAGAGTGCATTGGACACAGATAGAACAGCTTCATTGTGTCGGATGGAAACAGTACAGAGCAGCGGCACACTTCTTGTTTTTATCTTCACTGCCAACTTTGCCACAGCAGACGGTCTGACAGAACTGCATTAATGCTAAACCTTCACTTCCCACTGAGAGGAAATTAAAAAAATTAAATGTCTGCTCACCTGCCATCTTAACTAACGAGCAGGTTGCCCATTACGTAATATGATTCATGCACTCCAGTCGGAGTCCATGCACGTCTTCACTGAATGTTTCCTGCTCACCTGACTGTGGGTTAATAAGCACTAATAAGCCTCAGCTTCTGCTTTGCAAAAAGTTAAAGGCTTGTTTATTTTATTTCACACAGAAGCTGTTGGATCAGCCTGGATGAGAATGACACTGTCAGTGCAAAATATGAACAACTGAAAACATCTGCGTCTTTGATTAAAAGTCAAATGCACAAGCCTGTGATGAACACGCTGGATGGAAAGAGGCGAGACACACTGGCGAAAAGTGAAAAGGTGGTTTTTTTAAGACCTTGGGGAGGGAGAGTGACGGGTGAGCACAGAGGCGGGGGGGGATGCCAGGCTTTAACCAGTGCTTGATTGGCGATTGGCAGCAGGTACATAATCACCTCCACCGGTTGGAGCCTGCTCAGCCTGCAAACACGAAGCATATAACCATAGACCGCGTTACCACATGGGCAAAGTGGGCGTGTGTCCAGGGCCCCACAGCCAATAAGCGCCCTTGGCCTTCAGGTTTTTTTTTTTTGTGTAATAAATAAATAAATAAAAATATGTTTGCTTTCTAACGTACTTTCCAACGTAACGTTTTCATGCATTTGCTTTCAAACGTAACAGACTACTTTTTGTACAAAAAAAAAGTACGTATGACGTCAAAACAGTTTGTTTTCAAAATGGAGAGGCGAGCGCTCAGTCGTTCCGAAAAAAGAAAGCTAAGGAAAGAAAAAGAGGATAAAAATGCTGCTTTGGTGCAGCAAATGCCATCAATCTCAACATCTTTCACCAAAAAAGGAGAGGCAAGATGACGGTAAGCCTACTCATAACAGCGGTGGAAGTTGTATTACACCTCACTGCTCAGAGGATCAGCGGGATGCTAACACTGCTAGCTCAAGTGCACCGGAGACTTCTGATAGTGGTCAAGCGACACTATGTCCTACTGATACCGTCTGCACTAGTAGTATGAAAAAAAAGCCCTGTGTGATTTTATATCAGCACAACGAGGTCTTTTTGCGGACTTTGAAAAGGAAGCCTTAGCTGTACCAGGCATGTACCAGGCATGTGCCAGGCGTACAAACATGACCTCCTGCGCACCAGAAAGCGCAGACGATTTGAGGATGACGGCGGAGAAAAAGATGCGGTATTTGACGGGAAAAGCAAATTCCAAATAGAAACATTCAATGTGGCTATTGATAACTTTGTCAGCTGTCTCTGCCACAGAATCAATGCATACAAGCACCTGTGTGACATGTTTGGTGTTCTTTTCATGCCGGAAAACGCATCGGACCGTGAGTTAATTGAGAAAGCCAACACACTCACCTCTGCCTATCCCGCTGATTTGGACAGTAATCTTGGAGATGAACTGATTCACTTCAGATCATTCATCAGATCAGGCGGACAGAATGTGCCTCCATCAAAATGTCTTAAAACAATAATGGATTGTGGATTACAGTCAACATTCCCGAATGTGTACATCGCCCTGAGACTTTATCTGACACTTCCTGTCACAAACTGCGAGAGAGAACGGTCGTTTTCTCAAATGGCCAGAATAAAAAACAAACTCAGGACCAAGATGACCTAGAAGCGCCTGAACAGTTTGTCACTCATGGCCATAGAAGCCGAACTTGTCCGAGAGTTGGACTTCAATGACATTATCCAGGACTTCTCCTCGAGGAAGGCCAGGAAAAAGCTGCTGGTTTAGGTGAGATTTTATTTATTTTAATTAAGGAGTATTTTATTATTATGTGGCCTGATGCGTGTATCAGTGCTGATTTACGTAGGCAAGATGGTTCTCGGCTCCTGAACTATAGATCATCACTGATACACGCATTAGAAGTGGTACCATGGACAGCGCCAGTGATATTTTTGTTTATGTTTTGGTGGTTGTGTGTTGCCCAGTGTCATGTGCGTAATGCGCGCATTGGCAAGGGCCCGTGGCATGTTTGTGTCCAGGGCCCGTGGTGATTATAATCCGTCTATGCATATAACACCACACCAAGCACAGCCGGAAGTGAACTACCTTCCTACCAGGAACACCACAGTATCCTCTTGGCGTCCACCAGAGGGCTCTCTCTATAAAAATCCTGGTGGAGGGTCTTGTCCAGGATCAACTTCCAGGAGATCCAAGACTGCTCCTCCGGGCCATATTCCAATCAATCCACGAGGTATTGGAACCCCCTACCACGAGGCCTGAAATCCAGGATCCTGGAAACCATGAAGGCTGGGCTGTTGTCAATGATCCGGGGTGGTGGCGGGGGTTTAGCAGGTGGACAGAGGTCACTGGAGTCCACTGGCTTCAGAAATGACATGTGGAAGGTAGAATGGATCTTCAGAGAGTCCAAGTCCAGGTCCTGATTAGCCCTCTCCTTCTGGCCATTAGTCTGCGGATGGAACCCGGAGGAAAGGCTGGCCATAGCGCTAATTGCATTTAGAAGGCTCGCCAGACCTGAGAGGCGAACTGCGGTCCCCAATCCAAGACAATGTTGGAAGGGATGCCGTGGAGGCGGACATGCTCGGTGAGCAGTTCCGCAGTCTCAAGGGCAGATGGCAGCTCAGAGAGAGGGACGTAATACACAGCTTTAGAAAAGCAGTCAACAATGGTAAGAACAACCATGTTACCTCGAGAGGGAGGCAGGCCCGTGATGAAATCCATGGTGATGTGGTACCAAGGACGGCAGGGGACCAGCAGTGGGTGGAGTAGCCCTGCAGGGGGGCGATGAGAGGACTTCCCTCTGGCGCAGATGGTACAGGCTGCCACATACTGCCTCGTGTCCCGGGCCATCCCAGGCTACCAGAACCGCTGACGGAGGAGGATAAAAGTCCGGCAGAAACATGAACGGCACACGATCTTGGAGGCGTGTCCCCACTGGAGGACCTGCGACCAGGTGGCTGCAGGAACGAACAGCCAATTTGGAGGGCCATCACTTGGGTCCGGTTCGTCCACCAGAGCTCTCTGGATCACTGCCTCGATCTCCCAGGAGGCGGCGTCCACAGTCCGGGCTTCCGGGATAATGGGTGCAGGATTCTGGGTCTCGTGGGAGGCAGAGAAGCCTTGAGACAGGGCATCCAGTTTATCGTTCCGAGAACCTGGGCGGTAGGACAGAGAATAGTTAAAATAGTTAAACGACTTAAAAACAGGGTCCATCAAGCCTGGCGGGGGTAAAGGCTGCACACTGGCCACAGGTAGGCCAGGTTCCTATGGTCAGTCCAAATGGTAAAAGGCTTGAGAGGCCCCTCCAGCCAGTGTCTCCACTCTTGGAGAGCCAGCCTCTGGGACAAGGGATCGTGCTGCGATATGACCACTCCAACTCCCGTGTCAGATGTGTCAACTTCAACCACAAAAGGGAGGGCGGGATCAGGGTGTCGCAGGACGGGCGCAACAGTGCCTTGAGAGCATGAAAAGCAGTGTTGGCCTCTGGGCTCCACCTGAACGCTGTCATCGTGGACGTGAGACTCGTGAGGGGTACAGCCACCTGGCTGTAGTTTTGGATGAACCTCCTGTAGAAATGTGAAAACTCCAAGAACCGCTGCAGGTCCTTCCAAGACGTCGGAGTGGGCCAGTCGGTCACGGCCTGGATCTTGGCAGGGTCGGGTTCCAGTTGGCCCCGGGATATCACATATCCCAGGAACCCAACATATGTGCGGTGATACTCACACTTCTTGGGTTTGGCAAAGAGAAAGTGAACTTTCAAAATAATGGTGTTCCTACCAGGAGCATCACAAAGCCTTAGACATGAATGCCTTAGTTAACTCAACAAGAAACGCTATGATGCTTTAATGCTGCTGTTTGTGGTGGGCAGAAAACTGTCACTTTGGCCAGTTTTGTATGAATTCTTGTGTTTGTCTGCCTTAGATGTAGTTTCTGTATGCTGACTGTGTTCTTGTCTGGCTATAAATGTTTCATGCTAAGATTCTCTTTGAAATACATCAGTAAGAATGACTAATTTAAAAAAGATCAACGTGAATTTGTTCACAAATTCATGAAACAATCAGTCTTACTTTTCTTCGGAAGGTTTCTTATCCAGCTTCGAGGCTCATGGGTGCTGGAGTGTAGAGAAGACTGCCGATGGAGATCATCACATCACTAGGGCTGTGTTTGGACTGTCTTCTTGCCAACTGTGTAGTCCACTGTGTTGTGAATCAGCCATCAGTGCACTTTTTGTGCTTTTAAATACACTGTATTTTTTGTTTTTAAAATATGACTATATTAGAAAATTGAAACTCAGCTGATCCTGAGGACGTCAGGGAAGAGGTACTGACTGATTTTTTATGGAATGACCCACTGATCTCTCTTTACCAGCTTCTTCCTCGCTGCAGCTCTGCGAGTCAATTCTCTCAAACTGAAAACGACCATTTGTTACCCGAACAGCAAATTTGTGGTTTTGTTACCATTATAATGTTGACAGGATTTTCTAAAAAGCCAGTAGATGACAATCCACTGTCCTTAATTGGTCTCAAGTGTGTGCGCATTTGCATCCAGCGGGCCTTTGTTTTGTTGTTGCACGATTTCCATTTACCTTATTTATAGCGAGAGGCTCCTCATCTGACTTTGAACCGTCAAAACATCTAATGAGAAAGCGCATGGATACAGATGGAGCTGTTTGGTTTCTGTGTAGCCTCTGGTTTCATACAAGCACTCCGACACCAGGATTTTTCAATAAGAAATCAATGAGTTTGGCTACAAAGTCTTTGTGGCCGAGCTTAACAAGCAGAGCCTGCCGAACATATTGTATAATTATTTTCCTGTCATGTTTTTGGTGAAATAAGCTGACAGTTTCCATTGCTGGGCTGCTACCTGAGTAATTTAGTTCAGTCATAAGATGAATAATTAAAGCCCAGATGTCATGGAGAGCATTAAAGCAGAGATTGGGTTGTCCCATCATGCTTTTTAGGACTTATGTGCCTGTTTTAGTTCTGGAGACAAACACAATAGACATGTTGATGAGGGCGGACAGACTTTTTGAGATCTCTTGGAGAAGAATGTGCTGTGACATTTACAGTTGTGACAGCTATAGTTTTATGGGGCAATCAGCTTTCTGAAGAGAGATTTGGCACGCAGGACATGAAGATGAACATAGCGATTTAATAATTAAACGTGTGTATCTAAGTGGAGACTTTCATTATTCAGGCTCTGTGTGTGTTAAGATCTTATTTTAAACCTTAGTTTCCAGATTTTTATTCACAAAGCAGAGCAGCTGATTTCAGTGATCAGCACCTCCAATTAGATGGCAGGAAATAGTCAGTAAAATCAGCCACTGCTTGTTTTCCACTAAACTGCTGCGACTGCAGGAAAGCAACAACAGAAAAGCCGCAGAGTGGAGGAGGAATGATAGTTCTGCAGAATAATAGTGCGCCGCTGATCTGAACACTGAGCAGAAAAGGTCAGATGACACAACTGGGGCAAAGAAAGAACCACTGAGCAGATTAAACACTTTGAACTTAATAAAGTGGGATTGTTGCCACAGCTGACAGAAACTTCAACTCCCCACATGTGTGGTCAAAGACAAGCTATTCAACACAACAGGTTGGTTTGAGATCATCTGGTTTGGGCAAAATAAACCACAGACATCTTATTATATCTAAAAATGCAAAGTCATGACCTGTTTTTAGGGCTGTAATAGAAAATGTATTTGTAATGAAGATTTTTGGTGTGGGCCTTTCAGTTTACCACACAGGAGAGTTACTGCGATTCTGCAGTTCTGTTTTTTTTTTTTCAATTTACTAAGTGCTGCACTTTATTGGATATTGTGTATTTTTTATTTGAGAGAATATTTGTGTTGCGAAATCTGAGCGTGAAGCATACTTTCTAAATGCTGCACCTTGATAATTTAAAAAAAAAAAAAAAAAAAAGCTTTAGTATTTTTAATATTATTATTTATTTATTTAGTTCTTTATTAGTAGCCAGTTGCAGCAGTATTGTATTTTTTTTTTAAAGAAAGACAAAGTAATAGTCTGGTCAGTAAACCAGTGTCTACTTAAAAATGATCTTTAAAAAAAGTTTCATGTTTTGTATTTCTTGTTTTCGCTGCTCCGAAAATGTACCAAACCCGAATTTTTGTGTACCGTTTGAAGAAAGTTTAATCCTTAACTCTCCTCTACCTTCTCTGTACGCATAACCTTTTTTGTTACTTGTCTTCAGAAGAAATAATTGTCAAACGCAGCTATGATTGATCATCATCTTTTGTTGATGTAAGGTTTCATTCAAGCTTGTTACAGAGAAAAGTTGATTTTTGAAACCAAGCAAATGGCCATCCACCAACAGCAAACTTTGAAACCACATTAGCTGCAGGAGCCAAAATAAGTATTTGACATTTTTCTTCCTTTTCATATTAAAACATTGACATAATCAATGTGGATTCACTTTTCAGGTTGACAGTTTTTTGGAAACAAGTGACAGAAATTAAAAATGCATTATGTTTGAGTTCACTTTTGCTAAAAATTACACATTCAGAGTTAGACTAGCACTGGTTCTGTTTTTTTTTTTTTTTTTTAAGTTATTCTGACAAAAGGCAGAAAACAGAATAACCTTGACTTTGAATGTTATTTTCTCATATCAGTGTTGTGTAGAAGATGTTGCTGAGGACAGAAGAGGCATGAATGCTAAAAATCTGTGCTCTAAAGGAGAATAATCAAGACAAGAATGACATCAAGCAAGAGCAGCGTCCTGCTTCAGCTGACTAACATGGCTGATTTAAAGGTGAGCTTAAATTTGGTGTTTATCAGTCATTGTTCATCTGTTTGTAGGTTTGGCTGGTTCGTACGAATGGCTGAGAGATATCTGCTGGTGCACACGGTAAAGGTCAGTGTACCATCATGAGGCGGTGGGTGGTAAGATGTGCCTTTTTGTCGGGGAGCGCCTTGATGTCTGCAGTTTCAAAGGCCCATGGAAGAAGTTGTGTGGAGACTCCCTGGGGTGCAGCGATATCTGGGTGACCTCTCGATCGCAACGACGGGATGAAAGTGACCACTTGCTGGTTCTCGACAAACCTTTGGTAGGAAATAGGAGCGTGTACTGTAGCTCTCAGTAATCAGGACAGCTGTGCCTATTTCAGGACATCAGTGGAGAACCGAGACATCCATCCATTCATCTATTATCTATACACAGCTTAATCCTCACAAGGGTCGCGGGGGGGCTGGAGCCTATCCAAGCTGACTTAGAGTGAAGGCAGGGGACACCCTGGACAGGTCACCAGTCTATTGCAGGACTACACTTAGAGACAGACAAACATGCGCACTCACATTCACACCTACGGACAATTTAGAATCACCAATTAACCTCTATTTGTTTTTGGACTGTGGGAGGAAGCCGGAGAACTCGGAGAGAACCTACGCTTCTAGCAGCACTGACTGACAACACAAATCAAATAATCCAATCCATGATTTTCAGCAAGAGCTTGAAGGTCTGTTTTGTGGTTCACAGCACATCAAGTGTTTCAGCTAATAGATTACAGTTCTTAGTTCAGTATACCAACAAAATAGGAACCAGATTCAGATGCTGTAGATATGTGTATTAATATCTGAATCATGTGAATCCTGATCATGTTTTCTCAATCTGCTTGTGCTTTCTTGATTTGCGGAGCCAGAATGTTATTGATGTGGTAATCATATGGTAATGATCATACATTTAGGGGGGCTTCGGCATTATTGATTGCATGTCATACACTGGGTCTAAATTATCCTGCAAATATGTCAACACAAGGCAATACTGATAATTAATTAAGGATAATAATAGAAAAAAAAATAAAAGTATTTTCCCGTACAGATAATAGTCACATGTATACAGACTTAACAACTAATGTATCAAAAACTTAAATTCTGAATCTGTAGATGTGCCAAATATGTGAAGTGGTCTGGACACTGAAAGTTCCCAAAGTAAAGTTGCAGTCTAAGAAACTGCTTTAAAGGGTACAAAAATTATACACAAACAAATAAGAGTCAATGTGTTACATGTACTGCTGTTGCTGTTTATTCTAACATTTATGAGAAAAAACTATTCAAACTGTAATGACCTGTTTGAATTTAAAAGTGCATCAAAGTGTGGAGACCCTATTCAGGACTTTTGGGGTCTTTTGGATCCCAGGCCATTTGGTTTAGGTGACAGGTATTGTTTTTGTTTTATTTTTGAAGATTTTGAAGACTTTAAAAAAAATAAAAATAAAACAAGAGACATTTGTCATGCATTTTGAACCAAAAATATGTCAACTTATGAGAAAATGTATATACCACAATGTAAAATGTAAAAAGTTGATCTTACTTCAATAAATCTATAAAACTGGTTGCACTCAAAAAAGGTAAGTAAATATAACCATTAGTCTTAAATTCAGTTTACTTCATATATATTTGTAAAATTTACTTAAAATTTAGCTGTATTTAATCTTGTGAACTTAAAAATAGCAAGTATAATTAACTTGATCTTTCCAAGGATCCATCCATCCATCCATTATCTGTACACCGCTTAAACCTCACTAGGGTCACGGGGGGCTGGAGTCTATCTCAGCTGACTGTCTATCACAGGGCTACACTTAGAGACAGACAACCAAGCACACTCACATTCACACCTACGGACAATTTAGAATCACCAATTAACCTCAACATGTTTTTGGACCTTGTGGGAGGAAGCCAGAGAACCCAGAGAGAACCCACGCTGCACGGGGAGAACATGCAAACTCCACGCAGAAAGATCCTGGGTGTCCTCACTGGGACGT